GATCTTGGTTTTGACCTAAGAAGACCTACATGGTCTGGGACTACTCTACCCAAGAAACAGTCTTTTTCCAGGATAGACTGACACAGTTATAATCAGCAGATTGTTGATTCTAGGTCCCTTTTGATATAAGAGAGAGGAGGCAGGCAGGGACCAAGCACTGGAATGCCCTCCCATATCTGATCCAAAATATTTACTGACTTTCAGGGCATGTTGCAGAGCCCATTTATTTCACCTGGAATTTGGAGAAAGGTAGGAGGATTTGCAAATGAATGGAGACAGTTCTGTGGTGACCTAGAATCCTATTTTCGATGTCTCTGACTCAAGGAATATTTCCAACACACCTCTGAACAACATACTAATCCACAGAGACCTCCCTACCAACACTACAAAAAGGATTCTAGGTGGACTCCTCCTGAAGGTTGAGACAGCAGACTGGACTTCTACATAGAGTGCTTCCGCCGACGTGCACGGGCTGAAATAGTGGAAAAGCAGCATCACTTGCCCCACAACCTCAGCCGTGCAGAACACAATGCCATCCACAGCCTCAAACAACTCTGACATCATAATCAAAAAGGCTGACAAAGGAGGTGCTGTTATCGTCATGAATTGGTCGGAATATGAACAAGAGGCTGCTCGGCAGCTCTCCAACACCACTTTCTACAAGCCATTACCCTCTCATCCCACTGAGAGTTACCAAAAGAAACTACAGCATTTGCTCAAGAAACTCCCTGAAAAAGCACAAGATCAAATCCGCACAGACACACCCCTGGAACCCCGACCTGGGATATTCTATCTACTACCCAAGATCCATAAACCTGGAAATCCTGGGCACCCCATCATCTCAGGCATTGGCACCCTGACAGCAGGATTGTCTGGCTATGTAGACTCCCTCCTCAGGCCCTACGCTACCAGCACTCTCAGCTACCTTTGAGACACCACTGACTTCCTGAAGAAACTACAATCCACCAGTGATCTTCCTGATAACACCATCCTGGCCACTATGGATGTAGAAGCCCTCTACACCAACATTCCACACAAAGATGAACTACAAGCTGTCAAGAACACTATCCCCAATAATGTCACGGCTAACCTGGTGGCTGAACTTTGTGACTTTGTCCTTACCCATAACTATTTTACATTTGGGGACAATGTATACCTTCAAATCAGCGGCACTGCTATGGGTACCCGCATGGCCCCACAGTATGCCAACATTTTTATGGCTGACTTAGAACAACTCTTTCTCAGCTCTCGTCCCCTAATGCCCCTACTCTACTTGCACTATATTGATGACATCTTCATCATCTGGACCCATGGAAAAGAAGCCCTTGAGGAAATCCACCATGATTTCAACAATTTCCATCCCACCATCAACCTCAGCCTGGTCCAGTCCACACAAGAGATCCACTTCCTGGATACTACAGTGCTAATAAACGATGATCACGTAAACACCACCCTATACCGGAAACCTACTGACCGCTATTCCTACCTACATGACTCCAGCTTTCACCCTGACCACACCACACGATCCATCGTCTACAGCCAAGCTCTGCGATACAACCGCATTTGCTCCAACCCCTCAGACAGAGACAAACACCTACAAGATCTCTATCAAGCATTCTTACAACTACAATACCCACCTGCGGAAGTGAAGAAAGAGATTGATTGATAGAGCCAGAAGAGTTCCCAGAAGTTACCTACTACAGGACAGGCCTAACAAAGAAAATAACAGAACGCCACTAGCCATCACCTTCAGCCCCCAACTAAAACCCCTCCAATGCATTATTAAGGATCTACAACCTATCCTGAAGGATGACCCAACACTCACAAATCTTGGGAGACAGGCCAGTCCTTGCCTACAGACAGCCCCCCAACCTGAAGCAAATACTCACCAGCAACCATATACCACACAACAGAACCACTAACCCAGGAACCTATCCATGCAACAAAGCCCGTTGCCAACTGTGTCCACATATCTATTCAGGGGACACCATCACAGGGCCTAATCACATCAGCCACACTATCAGAGGCTCGTTCACCTGCACATTCACCAATGTGATATATGCCATCATGTGCCAGCAATGCCCCTCTGCCATGTACATTGGTCAAACTGGACAGTCTCTACGTAAAAGAATAAATGGACACAAATCAGATGTCAAGAATTATAATATTCATAAACCAGTCAGAGAACACTTCAATCTCTCTGATCACGTGATTACAGACATGAAAGTTGTGATATTACAACAGAAAAACTTCAAAACCAGACTCCAGCGAGAGACTGTTGAATTGGAATTCATTTGCAAATTGGATACAATTAACTTAGGCTTGAATAGAGACTGGAAGTGGCTATTTCCCCTTGTTTTTTCCTACCCCCCCCCAGACGTTCTTGTTAAACCCTGGATTTGGGCTGGAAATGGCCCATCTTGATTATCATACACATTGTAAGGAGAGCGACCACTTTAGATAAGCTATTACCAGCAGGAGAGTGGGGTGTGGGGGGAAAGAAAACCTTTTGTAGTGGTGAAACACCCATTTTTTCATGGTTTGTGTGTATAAAAAGATCTTCTGTACTTTCCACAATATGCATCCGATGAAGTGAGCTGTAGCTCACGAAAGCTTATGCTCAAATAAATTGGTTAGTCTCTAAGGTGCCACAAGTACTCCTTTTCTTTTTGCAAATACAGACTAACACGGCTGTTACTCTGAAACCTGTCATTATCAGCTACCATTTGATAGATGGGGTAAACTGACTGAATTGTACTTGGTTTGTAATTTTGAATAACTTGCAGAGAACTCAGATCCTGTGTGTGGTGCTTTTTATGGTCTATAAATAAAATCAACAAACATTTTAATTTGATGCCAACCCCAAAACAATTAGGCATTGTGGTAGGGATGAGATGAGGAGCAGGGAATCCTTGAAAATAACCAGTGACAAATTCAATTCAGAACCATTGTTGTATGTGTGCATGTGAGTGTACAGGGAGACAGGGTGGGAATGAAGGGTATTTTACAGCAGACTAAATTAACTTTTTGTGGAATTTGGGGGTTGCTGCCACAGAGTAAACAAAGGCCTTAAGCATAAATTCTGAGATGCTTTTTAAAAAACAAAAAATATAAATATAAAGTATAAGACATGAGAAAAGGCTGCAATGAATGAAGAATATAGATATACCTCAGGGCACACTGCAAAACCCATCTGCTCATTCAAGCCTTTGTCTGAGGGAGGTTAGCTATGAGGAACATTTTGTTTTTAAGATAGGTCAGGTAATGGATTAAGGCTAGTATCTTTGTATGTAAGTTTTTATTACAGCAGAGGGTAACTGTAAACTTGGAGTGAACTTTTTGTTGCAGTCAATTGTTGGAAGAATTATGTTAATTTTGCTTAATTGTTAATGCATCTAAAAACTTAGGTAATGGACAAGTAACTTTAAATCAAATCATGGTAAATTTTATTTATTTTTAGGGCCAAATTCTACAAATGTGGTCTAGAATGAAGCAAATTCAAGATGACATTAGAGGAGTTTATTTCATGGGGTACATATTTGCCCTATAAATATCTATTAAAACTTAAAATGATAAGCTATGATATACAAAATAGATTCCAATTAAAGTAATCCATAGAGCAGGGATTGGCAACCTTTGGCACGCAGCCCATCTGGGAAATCCACTGGCAGGCCAGGACGGTTTGTTTACCTGCAGCGTCCGCACGTTCGGCCGATTGCAGGTCCCATTGGTTGCGGTTCGCTGTTCCAGGCCAATGGGGGCTGCGGGAAGTGGTGTGGGCTGAGAGATGTGCTGGCCGCTGCTTCCCACAGCTCCCATTGGCCTGGAATGGCGAACCGCAGCCAGTGGGAGCTGTGATCGGCCAAACCTGCGGACGCTACAGGTAAACAAACCATCCTGGCCTGCCAGCAGATTTCCCTGACAGGCCATGGGCCAAAGTTGCCAATCCCTGCCATACAGAGTAGATTCCAGGGATTTATTTCTTTTGGCTTACACTGGAGAAAAATGGGATTTCAGGAAATCTTCACAGGATATAAAGATTAACTACAAAAGCATTTCAATAATAAATGGTGGAAACATAAAGCAATAGTCATTTTAACTCCACACCAGTAAAAAAATAAAATAGAACACCACTTGGATGTTCATTTCCATGCATACATCAGATTCAAATGCATGAAACAGCCTCCTCCCCGCCTTCCCACAACTCTGCTAATGGAAAAAGCAATGGAACTATTTAGTCATCTTGATGTCATCTTGATAGTAAATAACTTGCTGAAAAGGAACACATCTTGATAGACTAAGTGGCTTTTATTCATCCCTTTAACCATTTTAAAAAGTTTTTACCCATTGCAAGCAGGCTAAATGTCAAAATGTGTTACAAAATAATAAGAGATACTTTGTGCAGCAAGAGTCAAACATGCAATCTGCTATTTACATGTGAAAAGCAAGACTGAGTTGAACAGGAGGTTCACTGCCAAAAGGACTATCTATTCTAAAATAAATGTTAAAATACTGAAAGGTGTCTCTGTTGGTATAGTATTTGCTACTAAATAGGCATAAATGGCTAACCAGTAAACCAGAGACAATCTGCTTCCGTTCAAGTGGAAAACTTTGAAAGCTACTCATAGAAATTGAACTCAGCATCAATGCACAGACCTCTTTGTGACTGAAGTCATACATTTTATCTCTGAGTACTCCATAAGTTCATTGAACAAAACCAAACGCATGTTATTGGAAGAACCTTTATTATGGAGCGCAAATCTGTCTCCATCTCCCATTAATCCTTGACATCTCCACCAAAACTGCCAACACCAGATCTTCTTGTTGTGGTTGTTTTTGTGATGTGGGTCCCTATCCATTAGGAAACTGAGAAGACCACCAACTTGTTTCACATAGGCCAAACAACAAAAAATGTTAACAACTTTCAGTTGCTACCAACAGTTATTGGATTTCAGACTAACTATTAACACTTGTATTCTAGAAAGCTAGGCATACAGTACCTCATCTAGATACTGAAATGCAGGACTTGCAGTTACATCAATGGATCCCTCATCTTGGATATTAATTGATGGAGGTATGGCATAAATAGGCTCCTTTTTCTCTGTTTCTGAGTCACTGGAACTGGAACTTTCTTCACCAGCATCACTCATTTTTTCAAAGTTCTGTGAAGTAATAAAAATACCAATATTCAGCATTTACAAATCTTTAGAAACACACACTATGCAAGTAGGGTTAGGTTTATTCCTGGAGGTTTCATCATATGACATAATCTTTCATTAAAAATCTTTAATTCCTGGAGACTCCAGGACAATCCTGGAGGGTTGGCAACCACATATGCAGGAGATGAAGAAAACAAAGATATAATGTGAGTTGGAATGAGACCTGTGTTCAAATAAAGAAAACTACACAATGATCATTTTCAGAGGTTTGCCTTAATGAAAGCTGTAAAGAGACTGTGTCCCACTCTATGGTATAAATGCTATAAAACCCTTCTAATGGTTTAGTTACGCCATAATTCTGTAGATAGAAGACAATCCTCCTTAAAGCACAGTCAGAGTCAAACGTTTTGAGAGCTATGCCTTCACCTCTTTATTGGCATTATCCTATAAAGTGCAGAGAGTCCTCACCTCCAAGTGACTTGAGGCAGTGGAGAGGCATTTGTAGGCCAGATTTACAATTTTTTGCCAGCATAGCTATGTTGGCTAGGAGTAGAGAGGGGGACAAAAATCACACCCCAATCAATATAGCTATGCAAGTAAAATCACCTGCGTAAATAAAATGTATAGTGGTAAAGAGTCCTTTTAATGGTATAGATTGTTGTGTAAGGAGATGGTTTAGGTCCTTTTACTGGTATATGCTGTACAGTTATACCAGCAAAGTCTTTATAGTATAGACTAGTGCTTTGATTCAAATTGCTATAATTCAAGAAGCTTTTCAGACGTTTGTTTCTTCTTGAGCTGTAGGAAGAGATTTGATTGGTTGGAGTCATAAAAAGTAGGCTCTATCTGGCTGATGGTGAATACTGGGTGGAGTTTGACTCTACTGTTAGTATGTCAAAACACATCAGAGTGAGTTTGATGACTGACAAAAAAATTGTCATTGAGATTGTTGTCAAGACTCAATTATATTTATTTTTCTGTAGTTAAGGAATTACCATGTGTTAAAGAGGAGTCTCTCACTAAATACATTTTATTATCATATCATACTATTTTGTGACCTGTTCATATTTTTTCCATGTTAGAACTTAATTGTTTTTTCTGTAATGTACATATATTCAGCAGAATAAAGTCAGATTATTTTTTGTACTAAAGTAGCTCCTATGGTGGCCCAGTATAGGTATCATAAAAACACAATATAACTGTAAGCGGAGTCAGGATGAGCTCTACCCTGACATCTGGTGGTGAGGTGTGGCAAGTTGTGGAAAAGAACGTCAGGGGCTGATCTGATTTGTATAGGCACACCCATCCCGCCTAGAAAGAGGCCATAGCTGCCCAAATGGTCACTTTGGCTGCTGTGGGATCCCCAGTGTCTCTGTTATTGAGGCAGGAAGAATAAATTGTTATTACCCTGATTATGGGAATCAAGGACAGTGGAACTGTACTTGGCCTTTTGTATGATGCAGGGACTCACCATCAATTAAGTAGCACTCACTAGGCAAGGGACCTGGGTTCCAAAACTCTGTGAATTGAGAGGGGTATTAGTACTAGGTGGTGTGGACTCCCTTTGTGAGGGCCTGAAACATCAATTACACCTCTGTCTCTCTCCACTGTGGAATGCCAGAGCTAATTTTGGGGTATTAAGAGTCTAGTTACAGGTACTGTGCTGAATTCACTTTGGCCTTATGGTGCAGCAACACTAAGGCTCCCACTACTACAAGTTGAAATCACTAAAGAGCTAAAATTACTGAGAGCTGAAATCACTGAGCACTGTGCCAAGAAGTGGGGAGCCTGAAGATCTAGAGCGCAGTGGTGCTGTTCGTGGATGGGCTGGCGGAGCGTTCGTGAGACGGCGAGCGGAGCCGTTTGTGAGATGCGGAGCAGAGCCCTGTAGGGCAGTCAGTCAGCTTCAGGTCACATAAGGTGCCCCTTACCTCTTCCCCCCCCCCACATGCACATTTTTACCCAGACTGGGGAGTAACACTCTGTAGATGAACTTTTGAACTCTGGGGCTGGACTTTTTGGACTTTGGGTGATTTTTGGATTGCTGGACTCGAGACGTTTGGGTTGTGGGACTCAAGAACCCGAGGGAATGGACGTCGCCCAATTTGCTGGGGAGGGTCTTTGCTCATGGTTTGGTTAATGAACACTAGCTGTGGTGTTTTCCCAATTTAATGCTGATGTTGTTTACCTCATGTTATTAAAGATTCTCTACTACACCGAGACTCTGTGCTTGCGAGAGGGGAAGTATTGCCTTTTTGAGGCACCCAGGGGTGTGTGTAAGATTTTCCCAGGTCACTGGGTGGGGGCTCAAGCCAGTTTTGCATTTGCTTTGATGAGAGGGAACCCCTGTGTACTGAACGCGGCCCTTGCTGCTATCAACTCGGCCTGGCAGAAGGGTTACATAAGAAGGCAATCTTGCCCCAGAGAGTTTAGGGCTCAAAATATTACATACATCTATAGAGATTTAGTATCACCCTCAAGTCAGTGTAAACAGATCTTCCCTCACAGGATCATGAAATTTACAAACAGGACACAAATATTAAAAACATTACATTATCTCAGCCCAGCCCATGCTTTAGTTTTTATTGGTCCTGCTTTGAGCAGGGGATTGGACTAGATGACCTCCTGAGGGTCTCTTCCAATCCTAATATTTTATGATTCTATGATACTATGATCTTGTCCATAGAGGAATTCTTATGTAGTGAGTAACACCTCAAATAGCAACAATTAATCATGATAATTAAAGGACCAGCAAAAACAATAATACAGAATACATAAACCAAATTACAGTGATCATATTATCACAGTTAAACATGTTCCCTGTCTGAATAATTTACAACCTAAGCGACTTGTTTCAAAACCACTTATTTGTGCAAGCAGTTCCACTGAATTCAGTGGGCTGGGCTGGCCTCTCCCTCAGTAAAACTGCGAGTAGAATGTTAAGAAAGAGGAAAAATTTGAAGATTTCTTGAAGTTTCCCCTCACATTTTTCTGCTGGAGAGGTGCAGGATCATCCCTAAACCAAACAAATCCTACAGAATCCACAAAAGTCCAGGGCCGCCCTAGGGTGACCAGGTGTCCGATTTTCAACCAGAACACCCATCGAAAAGGGATCCTAGCGGCTTCGGTCAGCACTACTGACCGGGCCGTTGACTGTCCAGTTGGTGGCGCCGCGCAGCAGGGCTGACAGGCTCCCTGCTAGCCTCAGCTCTGCAGGCTCCTGGGAAGCAGACGGTATGTCCCTCCCCTGGCTCTTACACGTAAGTAGGGGTGGGGAACCTAGGGCATGTGGGCCAGATCCACCAGTGCCCCCGGTTAATTTCATCTGGCCAGCAGGCCCCCCACCCCTCCGCGGGTCAGGGGTCATGAGCACCGGCTCACCCTGTTGTGGGGGGGAGAGCTCTGAGTCTTGGCGCCTCCTCGCAGGGCTGGAGCCACTGGGCCTACTCATCTCACTGTGGGGGGAAGCCCCGAGACTCCATGCCTGCCTCCCACGGGGTTGGAGCCATTGCTCTGGCTCATCCTGCTGCAGGAGGAAGCCCCAAGCCTCTATGCTCTCCCCCCACCCCCCCCGCGGGGCTGTGCCACCTGGTCCCTCTGTGGGAGGAAGCCCTGAGTCTCCGCGCCCCGTGGGTGGGTTTCTGGGGGTCAATGGCCTGTGCCAGAAAAAAGGTTCCCCACCCCAGAGCCCACACCCCCAGCCTGAGCCCTCACTCCCCCTCCCCGCCGTGACCCAACCCTCTGCCCCAGCCCTGATCCCCCTCCCGCCCTCTGAACCCCTCAGTCTCACCCCCTCCTGCACCCCAGCCCCCTGAGCCAGTCCAGTGAAAATGAGTGAGTGAGGGTGGGGAGAGCGAGAAACGGGTGAGGGGGTGGGATGGAGTGAGCGGGGGTGGGGCCTTGGAGAAGGAGTGGGGGCATGGGTGGGGCCTCAGAGGAGGGGCAGGGCAAGGGTGTTTGGTTTTCTGTTAGTAGAAAGTTAGTAACCATACTGCCCAGCCCCACAGAGACAGTGTGCCTTTACACTGTCCCTTTATTTCTGGTGCCACTCCTGCTTGGTAGTGTATCTCCAAAGTAATTGTTAAACGAGGGGCTCTCCCTAGTTATGGCTACCTACGGATACCCCATAAAGGGAGGAATCTCTACTATGGATAGGATCCTACAGCCAACCTTACCTTTTATCTGAACTTCCTTAGGGCTAGTCAAGGGATAAGCTGTGTGTTCCCCATCCAGCATGAAATTGCCCATCTCTACTCCTGGCCTTCCCAATCTTCTTACGTTGAAAGGAGACATCTGCATAGAAAGGGGACCCTACATAGGTGGATCTTGGGGCATGATCTGGTCTAATGGTATTACTCATGTGAGTGAAAGTTATTCATGTTCATAAGTCTTTGCAAGATCAGGCCCCAAATTACAAAACATGCAAACACAAGAGAAAACAGCACAATTTCTGAGAAAAGGGAGAAAGTTGGCAAATTACTGAAGAAAAGAAGGGGGTAGGAAAGATTTCTCAAAGAAGTGGCTTTCAAGGAGGTTGTTGTAAGTAATAACATCAAAAAGTTATTATATCTTTCATACACACTGTGACATTGTCTAATTAAAATATAACCATGCAAATCATTATTGTTACCACTATTATATAATTGCAACGAATCTTATACAAAGTGTAACACATGGCCAGAAAGGGTTAAAGAGCTGGCAGGCTAAATAACCCAGAGCCAACCTTTAAAGTCATGTTAGAAAGGTATGCAAATGATAATAAGGGCCATTCGATGCTAGATAGACTAGAACTTTGAAATGAAAACCTATGTTGTTAGAAGTGATATTAATTGTGTGTGTTTACTTATATATGCTAGCCATGGAAACAGACAGTTCCTGTCTGTCACTATAGCTATTGATTCAGAGATGAAACGGGAATATTAACATTTAGATGAATTTGGGGTGCAATGATGTAATAGTCTATATGTCTCTTTAAAGTTTGTGATAAATTGCTTAATGGATAA